TTTTTCTCATCTTTATTTTAATTGTGAGTTATCATACTGGTATTCTGGTCCTAACAGTGGTATCATAGCTTCTAGGTTGTTTATATTATTCTGCTGTAGTGTATATTGGTATAGTGCTAGAGAAAATTCTTAGTATGCTCTGTGGTTGCAGTATTGTCTGATCTGCCACATCAGAAAAGATTTATTCTTGTTACTGGGCATACAATTTTGGTAGTGTAAAAGTGCATATATAGTGTGTACTTATTCACAGTCTACCATTATTATTGTTCCAATAAGTAGTACTATTCATAGTGAAAGTTACATAAGTTGGTATAATTAAGAGAGAAATTATGGCAGCAAAATATGAGATAGAGAAATTTCATGGGAGTAATTTCTCCTTGTGGAAATTGAAGATAAGAGTAATTTTAAGGAAAGATAATTGTCTTGATGCAATTGAAAGCAGACCTGCAGATATTTCAAAAGAAAAATGGAGAGAAATGAATAACAATGTTGTTGCAATTTGCACTTGGCATTGACAGATTCAGTGTTATCTAGTGTTGCAGAGAAGAAGACTGCAAAGGAGATTTGGGACACACTGATCAAGTTATACGAGGTCAAGTCACTTCACACCAGAATATTCTTGAAGAGGAAACTCTACACTCTTCGAATGAGTGAATCCACATAAATAACGGACCACATCAACAATCTGAATACGCTATTTGCTCAGTTTACAGCCGCAGATTTCAACATAGTAGAAAATGAACGTGCGGAGCTTCTACTCCAGAGTCTACCAGATTCATATGATTAACTCATCATTAATATAACAAACAACAACATTATCGGTCGTCTATCCTTTGATGATATTGTTGGAGAAGTTCTTGAAGAAGAATCCAGGCGAAAGAATAAGGAAGATAGATTGGAAAATTCTAAACAAGCAGAAGCATTGACGATGATGAGAGGAAGATCAATGGAACGTGGTTCCAGTGAGAGTCAAAATCATAGTAGATCAAAATCTCAGAGAAGGAAGAACCTCAAATGCTACAACTGTGGCAAGAGAGGGCACATGAAGAAAGATTGTTGGAACAAAAAGAGTGGAGGAGGGAAGAATACTGAAGCATCAACCTCTCAAGGTTGTGTTGCATGTACCTCAGATGATGGTGAAATCTTATATAGTGAAGCAGTAATAAATTCTCGAGGTGGAAGACAACTCCATGAATGTTGGATATTGGATTCAGGTGCAACTTGGCACATGACTCCATGTCAAGACTGGTTTTACAATTATGAACCTATCTCGGGGGGATCCGTGTTCATGGGAAATGATCATGCCCTAGAAATTGCTGGAATTGGTATTGTCAAATTGAAAATGCATGATGATACTGTTCGTATAATTCAAGGAGTACGACATGTGAAGGGCTTGAAAAAGAATCTATTGTCCGTTGGACAATTGGATGACCTCAATTGTAAGATCCACGTTGAAGGTGAAATCTTGAAAGTGGTTAAAGGCAACTTGGTGGTGATGAAAGCATAAAAGATCACAACCAATTTATACATGCTTTTGGGAGATACATTGCAAGAAGCAGATGCATCAGTTGCAATTAGTCAAGAAGAAGAAACAATGATGTGGCATCGTAGACTCGGTCATATGTTAGAACGAGGCCTGAAAATTCTAGCAGAACGTAATATCTTACCAGGGCTCAAAATGGTAACCTTACCATTTTGTGAGCATTGTGTGACAAGTAAGCAGCATATATTGAAGTTTGCCAAAGTGACTACAAGAAGTAGACACATACTGGACTTGATTCATTCTGATGTATGGGAATCACCGAAAGTATCTATTGGAGGAGTAAAATATTTTGTATCATTCATTGATGATCACTCAAGGAGATTGTGGGTGTACCCAATCAAGAAGAAGTCAGATGTGTTTCCAGTGTTCAAGGAATTCAAAGCACTAATAGAACTTGAAACTGGGAAAAGAATTAAGTGCTTAAGAACAGACAATGGAGGAGAATATGTAGATGGTGATTTTCTGACATTCTGCAAGCAAGAGGGTATTTCAAGGTAATTCACAGTGCCTTATACACCTCAGCAGAATGGTGTAGCAGAGCGGATGAACAGAACTCTTCTAGAAAGAACAAGAGCTATGGTAAGAACAGCAGGAGTGGCCAAATCTTTCTGGGCAGAAGCAGTGAAAACTGCCTGTTATGTGATAAACCAATCACCATCAACAACAATTGGTTTGAAAACACCAATGGAGGTATGGAATGGAAAGCCACCTAATTATTCTTCATTACATATGTTTGGATGTCCTGTGTACATGATGTATAATTCCCAAGAAAGAACAAAATTGGATCCAAAATCTAGGAAATGTATATTTTTGGGTTATGCTAACAATGTTAAGGGGTATCGCTTGTGGGATTTCAGTGCCCACAAGGTTGTTGTTAGCAGAGATGTAGTCTTTGCAGAAAATGAACTGCAAAAGGAGCAGAAAAATGACAGTACTACCAAAGACACTACTTCAGTAGTGATAGAAAGGAAGTCTAAAGAAGATGACACCTCTGAAGCAGAACATGAGCACAGAGAACAAGAACCAAATGATGCCAATGATAGAGAAGCTCAACAAACAAGACGTGAGATAAGGAGACCATCTTGGCATTCAGACTATGTTATGACAAGCCATGATGCATATTGTCTTCTAAATGAAGAGGGTGAACCATCAACCTTTCATGAGGCTTTGAGGAGTTCAAATGCTTCATTATGGATGACAGCAATGCAGGAAGAAATTGAGGCTTTACATAAAAACAAGACATGAGAACTTGTTGAGCTTCCAAAAGATCGAAAAGCCATTGGTTGTAAATGGGTCTACAAAATCAAACGAGATGGTAATGATCAAGTGAAACGGTATCGTGCAAGATTAGTGGTTAAAAGATATGCTCAGAAAAAAGGCATTGATTTTAACGAGATATTCTCTCCAGTAGTCCGATTAACCACAATCAGAATTGTTCTGGCAATGTGTACTGCATTTGATTTACATCTTGAGCAACTTGATGTAAAGATTGCTTTTCTCCATGGAGAACTTGAAGAGGAAATATATATGCTCCAACAAGAAGGTTTTAAAGAACAAGGAAAAGAAAACTTAGTTTGCAGATTGACCAAATCTCTGTACGGTCTAAAACAGGCGTCGAGATGTTGGTGTACAAGAGATTTGATTCCTTCATTATTAGCCTTGGTTACAACAGACTAAATTCAGACCATTGTATGTATTACAATAGGTTTGATAAAAATGATTTCATCATTTTGTTGTTGTATGTGGATGACATGTTGGTGGTAGGCTCCAGTAAAGATCAGATCCAAGAATTAAAGGCACAATTGGCTAGAGAGTTTGATATGAAGGATTTGGGATCAGCAAACAAGATTTTAGGGATGCAAATTCACCAAGACAGAAAATATAGAAGGATTTGGCTTTCTCAGAAGAGTTTTTTACTGAAAGTCTTGCGGCGCTTCAACATGCAAGATTGTAAGCCAATTTCTACCCCACTTCCTGTCAATTGCAAATTATCCTCAAGTATGAAGCCTAGCAATGAAGCAGAGAGGATGAAAATGTCTCGAGTGCCGTATGCATCAGCAGTGGGAAGTCTTATATATGCCATGATTTGTACTAGACCAGACATTGCATAAGCAATGGGAGCAGTCAGTAGGTTTATGGCAGATCCTGGTAGAGAGCATTGAAATATTGCAAAGAGGATCCTTAGATACATAAAAGGAACCTCTAATGTTGCATTATATTTTGAAGGATCAGAATTTATTGTGAAAGGCTATGTTGATTCAGATTTTGCAGGAGATCTAGATAAAAGAAAATCTACTACTGGTTATATATTTACACTTGCTGGAGGGGCAGTAAGCTGGTTATCTAAGTTGCAGACTGTTGTGGCTTTGTCTACTACAGAAGCTGAATACATGACAGCTATTGAGGCATGCAAGGAAGCAATCTGGATTCAAAGGCTATTGGAGGAACTTGGGCACAAGCAGCAGACTACTACTGTGTATTGTGACAGTCAAAGTGCTTTGCATATTGCAAAGAATCCAATCTTTCATTCCAGAACAAAGCACATAGGCATACAATACCATTTTGTTTGTGAAGTAGTAGAGGAAGGTAGAGTGAATATGCAGAAGATTCATACCAAAGACAACATAGCAGACATAATGACAAAGTCAGTTAACATTGACAAGTTTATATGGTGTCAATTCTTGTATGGCCTATTAGAAACATAAGCAACATATAATTGTAATGTATTAGGAATGTGTGAAGATATGATTAACTTAATCATAATCTTCAAGTGGGAGAATTGTTAGTCCCACATCGGTGAGAGTTTAAATGGGAGGACCCCTCTTTGGCTATAAATAGGGCCTTGGGGTCTCTCCCTCTTCGTACTACACTGAGATTTTGTACTTGAGATTTTGTATTTGGTAGTAGTAGTCTCTTATATTGAGGAGTAAATTTTAGAGTAAGGAGTGTTGTAAATTGAGGAGTATTACAACACTCCTCATTCTAAAATTTTGGGATGGTTTGATAAAGGGACCCCAAGGCCCTATTTATAGCCAAAGAGGGGTCCTCCCATTTAAGAAGGACGAAGAGGGAGAGAATATTTTGAGATGGTTTGATAAAGGGACCCCACGGCCCTATTTATAGCCAAAGAGGGATCCTCCCATTTAAACTCCCACCTATGTGGGACTAACATATAATAATATCGAAACTAATACCTGATTATTTAATGTAAGACAAACTATTAAGATTTGTATCTACCACAAATTTATTCAAGCTGGTTTGAACATTCTTCTGTACTCACTAAGGTCTAAGGCTTCTGCTAAATAATCGATCTGAGATTACACTCGGTATTTCTATTTCATACTAAGAAATTCAGCAAGAACAACAAATTCATGTATTTATAATAGACAATTACAAATCAAGTAACAATAGAATAAAAAACACACCGGAAAGGAAGAAAACGTGGTGGTGATTACGATTAGGGACGATGCCAAGGCCTTGGTGAAGGTATAAAAAAAGGTGAAAAAGGAGGACTTGGAGATTGATAATATTGGGCAACAGCATAAAAAGTCTGAACAATAGTAAGAGCAAAGAGAAAAATAGCTGCAACAAGAGACACAATAGCCCAAGGGTTCCTAAAGTACGTGTGAATGAGATTAGCACGCCACTTGTTCCACGGTTTCTTGCAATAGTTACTCATACTCATACTCACCACATCCAACACTCCTTCACCATCCACGGTGATATCTTTGGACAATGAATTGAACAATTTGGCAACAGCTTTATCACTCCCAAGACCATTTATTAGTACCCCATCTCGATGAAGAAGTGCAACGTCCATTTCACAATCAATCATTGTGTCCATAAAAAATATGTACGAGGTTACTTCGTTGCCTGCTCCAACATGAAGACGCTCGAAGGCAATGAGGTTAAGGAACATGTATTCTGTTGTGTCGTCAATTACTATTGTTGGAAGCCTAAGAACCCCACCAACGAAGGAAATGTCTCCGAGGCTGTTTGATTTGCTTTTCTTGAACCGTATTCCAGCTTCTTGGAGCTCTGTTGCGGAGCGAATTATATCGTTACCATGCTCTTCATTGAACCAGCTTCTGTGTGCTTGTTTGGCCACACGTGTTCTTAGAGTGGGTCCTTGTTGAATGAGGCTTTTTCTGTACACGTCCAATACGTGCATGCATTTGCCAAACTTTGCTATTTGAGGGGTGCTTGTGGTGAAGAAGAACTTGAGGATTTTCTTCATCAATAACTCTTCAACTCCCTGTCATGTGTTTGGGCTTAGAATTATTTATGGATGCTTAAATATATGTTTGCAATTAGTAAAACAATTTTATTTGAGAGTACTTTTAATTATAAATTGATGTATTTATAATAATTATAATTTAAAAATATTTATTGTATATTTTAATTATTTGATAGTGTAAAAGAAAATTACACTAAAAATGCATGAATAAAAAACTAAGCTCTTACTATAAGATCCATTTGTCTCAAAATAATTTACTGTTAAATTTTATTAGTTATGTTTACTTGCACTTTTGTTCTCTTTATTTTGAGTAATGTATAATTTCAGTTTTTCAAGGCTTTTTTTACCCAATTAAATATTTTTATTTAAAAAATAAGTAAAAATAGTTTTATTATTAATTTATTTCTACCTACAATTTTAAATTGTTGTTTATCCATATATTTAAAAAATTATGATAGAATTGAGATAACAAAATATTTTTAAAATTTTATAAGTAAAAAGTTTAGTGAAATTTGATAAAACAAACAAGCTGATAAGTTTTGAGTAAAATGAAATTTTGAAACAATTTATTGAATAAACTAATGAACAATTTGAGTAAAAATTAATAATATGATAATTTTAGATAAAAAGAATTAATAGCAAGATTGAATTTGTTTAATTTAAAAACAAAAAACTGGATGAATTGAATGATTCTATCTTTTTTTCACATTAACATCATTTAAACAAAAAAAGAAAAGTAATTACCTGGGTGATGTCAGTCTCAACCTGAATCAATATGTGAAGAACCATTAAGGGGAGCTGATTCTCAAGCATAAGCATGTCACGCTTGATATATGGCACAAAATACAATTTCCCATGTTCACCAAAGACAGGATCATTGTCAACATAATCACCTGGAACACTATCATTGACCCTTAAAATCTCCAACATGAAACAGCCATCAAGAATCACCATTTGTAGAAATCTAGGTGTGTCTTGCATCCATATGGGATCAAGTGGATTGTAAGAGTCTCTCAACTCTTCAACCACTTGATCCATGCGTTGGAAGATCAACTCAATGGGCTTTTTGCACCTCCTGAGGAAATGGAGGAGAGCTCGGTGCTTGTGATCTTCCATGGCCTTCAAATGCTCTTCCCCATTATGGTAAGGACCAAATGACACCGCTTGGGGTTTGTAGGCCTTTTCGTTCAACACAGTCACACGAGAAGGTACCTTGTAAATAGAGTGCCTCTTCCATTGATCATTCTCTGAAGTACCATTGTTCTTGAGCTCCTCATTGATTTGGACAACCCATTTCGTTTCTTCCATATATGCCTATTAGCTTTGATACTTCAGGGTCTCTCTTGAATCATCACATGCAAGAGGGTAAGCATTTATGAATCTTATAGTAATGTTATGGACGTGAAAAGCAAAAATAAAATATTCATGATCATAAGCCTCAAATACATTGATGTCTAACTGGAATCTTCTTGTTGTCCATATATATTAACCAATTTAGTGTGCAAAGATATTGTAATTAATGATGAACATTCCTTCCTTCCAAACTTTCTTCGATTCTCACCCTGCGTGGTTCTCTTGTCTATGAAGAAAAGAATACATATAAGCTTCGCCAGTAGCCATTTAAAACTCTATTGCTAGAGATTGGAGAGCATCATCATCATAAACCAACACAAAAGTGTTCTTAGATGATTAAAAAAAACTAGCAGAAACGAAGAAAGAGGACCGCTAAAACTAACGTTCCTTTTAATTAGTTGTTCTCACGTGTGTTCTACTACACATTTTATTAAGTTAAAAACAATTTTTATTTAAAAATAAAAATATTTATTATCTAAAAATCATAAAAATATTTAATGTACACTTTTTATAGTGTTTAAAACATTTAATAGGATGCATTTAAGTCAAATGAAAAGATTTTTTTAGTCAAATTTTCTTAACACATTAGAATTTTTTTTTTTAAATGTGCGTCTCGGTTAACTAAAAATAATGAGCTTTGAAATATCTTCCTACATATCATCCTAATAATCTTCCTATTATTTTATAAAGTAAGTATTAAATTAAAATATAGATATATTTATTATTTTAAAACATGAAAAATATTTAAAAATTTCTCCATTTAATAACCAGGAAGATTTATAGGAAAATAAGATATATATGAGGATATAGAATTATTCCAAAAAATATATATATTTACTATTTAGAAATAAAAAATTTCATTCACTTTTTTTTCCAAGTAATTAGAATCATTTAATATTTTCAAACTAGTATCATAAGCACATTAAAAAAAATTAAAATCAATATATTTTTGGTGTACTCCACCAATTAAAATTGTTGTTTAATCAATATTTGAAAATTAATCTCTTTTTAAGTACTAGAGTGTAGTATTTTCTTTATTTCTGAAAATTATATCATTGTAAAGAACGAAAATTATATTCATATACTTATACACAGTACTAGTTTTTCTTCAGTGTGTCATCGTGACTTTCTGAAAAATACTAGTGAACGTTCGCATAAAAAAGAAAAATCATAAAATATTATTATTAAAAAATTTAAAGAATTAGAGTCTTCAAAACAGATTGTACAAAACTCACAAGCTAAGAGTCTCAACTCCATTGGCATTCAAGTACAAAGTAGTCAAACCTTAAAAGTGCTTTTAATCTGAAAGTTACTAAAAACGTGGTGTGATTGGTACAAATTATAAGAACCTTCATCTTACAGACAATAGATTTATCAGGGTTTGATTTTCGTAGGAAATAGTGTCATCATCGCAATCCTCAGTAGGTGATGCAAGTGTCATAAGAGCAACAACTATAGACCTCATGCTTGGGCGTAGTAGTGGATTATCTCTTGTACAAGCTCTCCCAAGTTGAGCAATCTGCAACCCAAACAATCAATGTTTCTTAACAAACATTCTTTAATTTAATAATTTTTAAAATAAAAAACAAAATAATTGTTTAATATAAACTATATAAACTTAGCATGCTAATCGTTTATTTAATTTTATAAATATTGTATAACTATTAATTTTAATAAATATTTGTCTTTTACTTTCTTTTCTAAACCAAACTCCCAAACATATCTTTTAAGTTCTGTCAGATGAGTGCAACTATATGCCTTACTCTAAATTCTAAATCTACAAAAGAAAAGTAGAAATAACTAAGTTTATGTACCTCACTGATTTATTAAAATGCTATTTCATATATACAAAATGATTTCTTTTAACATAATTGTATAAGGCATAAACATTCACATTATTTTCACAGAGAAATGCTTCTACCTTCAGAACTGAATCAATTGGATAGTTTTCTCCAAGCCTTGGATCAACCAGTTTGTGAATGCCTTCTAAAGGATTGCTCTGATTAAGTGCTTCTTCAAACTGCAAAAAAAAACAAGTCAAGGGTAACTTCATTTCCGGTTCAGATACATGCATTATGTTGGCTAGCTTTGAAATAGAAATGTATATTGTAAATTGATAGTGTTTTGTTGGTAAAATGGTTCAGAAAAGGAGTAGCTATACTCACCAAAGCTACAAGGCCCTTGGATTCAGCAACAGATTCACCTGTTTTCAGAACAGCATTCTTTGCAGAAATAAGTTCATAAAGAACAACTCCAAAAGCATATACATCTATTTTTGGAGAAACATCACCATATTGAGCATATCTACAGAAAATCCAGGAAATCAATAAAATTAGTTCTGTGCACACAAAATCAAAACTAAAGGGCTTATTTCCACAATTAAGACCTTGGAGATAAAATCACTAATCCATGCACAAAATTAACCTAGCAGTATCTTGCAAAAGTTACACGAAATAATTAATGAACAAAGTAACAATATTTTCACTTAAACAGTTAAACTCCATTTTAAAGAACAGGGGCCAGGGGAAGCTCAGGTTTACTCAGTGATATGTTCTGAAAAATGAATTGATATTATCAATTAATCATACAATAATGCCCTTATGCTATGATCTGTTCTTCAATACACATTCTTTTCCAACAAAATACAAATTTTAAGGGACATGGTATCATTTAACACAACGCAACTAATCTTACTCTGGTGGCATGTATCCAAATGTTCCCACAAGACGAGTGTGAAGTGTGGAGCTTCCAACTTCAATAAGTTTGGTCAAGCCAAAATCAGCAACCTGAATTTAAAATCATCACACATAACTCCATTAATCTCAAAGAAGAAATGGAAAATCAGGATTTAGAAAGTGGATCATGAAGATTGGTAATAATGCAACCTTTCCACGGAAGTGTTTGTCTATTAATATATTTGCTGACTTTACATCACGATGGATATACACAGGCACAGTGTGCTCGTGAATGTACTCAAGGCCTCTTGCTGAATCTAGAGCAATTTGCACTCGGCTAGACCATGGCAAAGGGTCTTTACCTGGAATTACGTTATCATCATGATTATTTGTATGACAATAATTAATATCACAGGAAAATGAAAAATCATCAGTGTATGCTTGATCTCACCAGTTCCATGCAAATATTGGCCTAAGTTTCCGTTGTCAATATATTCATATACAAGGAAAAGAGATCCCTCAACACAATATCCAATCAAGCGCACCTTGTTGTTCATAAAAGATAGGTAAGATAAAAACCTTGTTGTTCATAAAAGATAGGTAAGATAAAAATTTCATGTATTTACGCACACAAGAAAAAAACCGTTGACACACAATGGCACTGGATATTAGTTTTGTAAAACCATGATGGTTCTTCAAACCACACAAATATGATTAATTGACTTTGCCAGATATATACATGCTTGAAATTGTTTGAAGGATGTTGTACCAGATTTAAGTGATGAACGTGTGTTAAGACCTTCAATTCACAAAGAAATTCTGTTGATGCTTGTACATCCATCTTCTTAATTGCTGTTTTCTGCATAGAATAAATTATATAAGAAGAGATCCACGAATATATAGTGTGAAAAGTAAATGGTTAGCCTGAATTGGCATAAAAAACAGAAACCTGCCTACGCACCCTTAAGAACAATGTCCAATAAGTAAACAATGCATCATAATATTTTTCTTACACATTATACTTAAATTTGTTTCATAGATCTTTCACACAATGAACTTAAAGCCTTACAATTTAAACATATCACAACTATTCTATTAAGTAAGAAATCAATCACATGGGAAAGCCATACGTATCACTAATAACATCACATGATTAAAAGTTAAATCCTATCCTCCAATTTCATTTTCCATTCTTCTTCTAAAATTATTTTGGCTGATTATGTTATAGAACTGAATTACATGTCATTTCATACCTCGCCTCTCAGTTCTGCATAATAGACAGCTCCAAATCCTCCCTGACCAATTTTATTATCCAAGCTAAAGTTATTTGTAGCCTTGGCCAGTTCTTGATATGAGAACTCCGTTGATTTAGCCACCATAATGCCTGTGAGGCCAGCAGCACTAGCATTTGCAGGCCCAGTAGATCCTGAAGTTTCATATTCTCCACTTCCAGAGGCTTTACCCGGAAGAGGAAGAAAAATCAGCAAGTGTTATCATATCCATTAAGCTAGTACATTTCAAATTCTAGTAATGTGACGGAGTTGATGGCATACAGACTTTGAAAAGGTTGGTAAATAACGGGTACACTTTTTTACAAAATATACAAGTTGAAGAGGAGAACATTTGAAAAAGTAAGGGGTAAATTTTGTACCCTCTGAAACGAGGTAAAACAGCCTCAAATCAGATCCATAATAAGTTTATACAGGATAAATTATGAAACATAAAATTAGTATAAGACTAGTTTAAACACTTGAAAATTCAGAACACCAACATTAAGCCACATATCTAGGAATATGTTATATGAAAAGTTTAGAAGGAACACGTTATATGAATACAAAAATATACAAGTACCATCTTGAGTTGAAAACGCTACAGAACTTTCTGACGGCAATTTAGCTTTCTCTCCTTCCTTCTTCTGGAAGTATTTAACATACATGAAAATTACTAATAATATAAGCCCGCATATTGCCGCTATGGTTATTCCAACAGCAGCACCCGTAGCTAGACCTGCTTATACAGAAGCAAATTTTATGCTCTGAGGCACTGACTTTTTTCCTTTGTGTTCTCATATTTGTGTGGAACATCATTCTGAAAATAATCATCAATATTATATAGATAACTCTATAAAGTTAGAGGGCAACACCTGCTTTTCTGCAAGACAGAAAAGAAAATTGAAGTTAGAAAAGATAGAACCAAACATTTATCAATATTTAATTCTGTGTGCATGATTCAGCATGAAAGGTGAAACAATTAAAGTTACCCACCTAGGATACAAGGGAACATAGTCTCCATTTTGATCTGGAATATTAAATAAAAATAAAACGTTAGGCAAATGCATAACGATATATACTAAATTTCCTTGAAGAAAAATAAACTATTTGAACCATCAATTTGCTGATACATACCAAATACTTTAATCAGAACACCAAATTAACATGATGAGAAAAAGGAGAGCATAGTAGCATACCTCTTCCTGGTATGAAAACTATCCCACTCTCACTGCTGAAATTAACACCAGGATTGTAACTCTGCAGTAAATGTGCATCAAGATTGGTCTCATTGGAAATATCCTGCAAAGTATTCCCTGGCCTTAGTGGATAGGTAATAAACATCCCATAATCTTTTGAAATCTGGCTGTTCCCACAATAACAATTGACAGTGACATTAAGCTTTGAATTAGCCGGTATATCATCTTGATCATAACTATTGAACCTTTGCAAAAGCTCAACTGTTGTCAGATTGGCATATTTCACCTTGGCAATCAAATCATAGGTATCACCTGCAGCAGTTGAGTACTCAAACACATGTCCCAGAAATTCATCTCCAATACAGTCACAGGGGAATGGAATATTGACTCTGGAAAAGGATGGCACATTATCATTCAATATTTTGTCTTTATTGTAGCTCCTTATAACATCAGAAGTGGACAGAATTTTTGATTGCATCAAGCGCATTATATTATCTAAGGATAGAAACTTGGGTCTTACATAGTAGGAAGCTAAAGCTACGTGACATCCCTTCATACACTTGGATTCCACATTACAACAAACATACTCCAGCAACAGCAAGAACAACAGAAAACCATTTGCGGGTTTCATTGAGTCACGGAGAACAAATCAAAATGGATGCAGAGAAGAACACAGAGTGCAGTAAAAGAAACCCAAATCAGAAAACTTGATTTCTAGAACTAGCTTATTTCCCTTGAACTAATGCAACACTTTCTCTTCTAATTAATAGACTATACAATCTTACATGAAAAGTAACTCAAACATAAAAGTATAGTGGTACAACTAAATTAATTGTTTGTAAACATAAACTGTGAATTTATATGCACATGTTCTTTCCTTTTTAGAACAAACTCATGATAGGTTAATACAGTTAACAGTTTCCACAAAGAGGGTGGAAAGAAACAGTATGATTGGCTTGAATGATTAGAGTTGAATTGCATGTCATTTATTTATTTGGGTAACAACTTGCATGTCATTTATTGATGGCATATTTGGTGTACTATGAATATTATATAGTAATTTTTATGGTATTGAAGGATGTATAAGGACTAAGGAATCTTGCTGATTGAAAATGTTGGCTTTCTTTAATCCTTTGCATCCAAAATGCCAACGTGTTGGCCAATGTGCAACCATTTTGTAATGTGTCCTCTCGTGATTCTAACAAACGCCAACAATTTTCCATTTTAAATTTTGAGGCACGCCTATGCAGCTTGGCTATGATCTAGTACTATCATATTCCGTTGACTTCGCTCATAAAAAACAAAAGGGAATATATGTAATAACACCGGTATCATCGTTGTAGATCCCAGTTTAATTTAATGTTAATTTTACTATAAACTAATAATTATACCCGTGTGGGTTTGATTATAATTTTTATTGAAATATTTTATTTAAAATTAATTAAAAAATTATATTTTAAATATAATGAAATATGTTTTTAAAAAATAATAAATGTATTATTTACTAAACTATAATAAATATCTATCATAAAAAATAATATCAAATACACTTAATTGAGATATTAAAATATATTGATAAAGTTGAAAAAAAGTGTTACTATTTTATTAGTTTTGTAGATAAATAATGTAAAACAAATTAAAATTTCAAATAAGATGACGTATAAAGTAACATGAAGCAATTGTTAATTTGTCTGGTGGCATTATCCTTTAACAAGTACTATTAATTGACAGACATGTATCATCCTCTGTTAATTATAGCAACTAAATTTAATTTTGACTTAATCTATACAATTTCAAAGTAAATATATGTTATAACTACTTTTAAAAAATAAGCTAGTATAGCTGCTTGGTAACAACAAAAAATTAGAAAGAACTATAGCTTTTAAAAGCTAATTGAAGTAGCATTCAACTTGTAACTTATAGGTATTAATAATTTTATCTCATACTTACCCTTATTCTTTTAAATAAAATAAACATAGGTACAAATCATAAATATCTCTCTCCTCAATTATTCTAATATTATATTGACATATTTCAGTATTTTACCATACGGAGCCAAACAATGGAGTTCAGTGTAGATAATTGTGGGAAATGCAGTAGTGTCATAACAAATTTGTTTTGTAACAGAAGAATTATATAGTGACATTTCTATTCTACACTCCTTTTCCTATTTTCCAGACATTAGATTTGCAAGAGCTGGAATTTCAATGATGGAAGCAATATCCCAATCCTCAGTAGTTGAAGTAAGTGCTGTAAGAGCAACCACAACTGAACTCATATTTGGACGTTGTTGTGGATCGCTCTCTGTGCATGCTTTAGCAAGTTGTGCCATCTGCAAGTAGGAAAATGGCCTAAGCTATTGAAAACAGAAACACACAAAAGTTTAAATGCTTTATGATAACTGAAACCTTGAGAAATGAATCGATTGAGAAGTTATCTCCAAGCCTAGGATCAACCAATTTTTTAAGACCATCTGTGGGATCAGGCTGAGCAAAAACTTCATCAAACTGCCACATATATCCCCCCAACAAATTAAAAACAAGATAGGAAAAAATTTAGTCCTCAATGTTTTATTTAAGATCACTAGACTGCCATTTGAAAATAATAAACTGTAGTGTGTAAAGAATCACCAAAGATACAAGGCCCTTTAATTCAACACCAGATGCACCACCACCCTTTATCAAGGCTTCTTTAGCAGAAATAAGTTCATAAAGAACAACTCCAAATGCGTAGACGTCTACTTTTGGAGAAACATTGCCGTATGCATATCTGCAGATAAGAGAATGATATCATTCAAATCATGCTCCTGAAAGCTAACTGATTTTTTTTTATGTCCATAAAGACAAATTTCGATGTGTTAACAACAAAAATTTCTCCCTCAAATGCTGTTAAAGAAAAACAAGGAACTGCACAACAGGAAATACTCTGTCAACATTCATAAGTAAGTACTATATTAAAAGGGAAAAGAAAAGAGTAATTGCAACTTGCTAGAATGAATAGTCTGACAACCCAACTGGACAAATCAATACAACAATTGGTCTACAGGGGGGTATGGGGAGGGGGTTCTCACAAGTGTTCTTTGTAAGAGACAATTTTGTTTAAGGCATGGTCGTTCGTTAAATGTGAAAATATCTACTAATGAGGATTCAAACCATGGTCAAAATGTGCCATTGATTATGAAAAAGGACTTCTCATTTTTTAGTTAATTATTTATACTTACATATATGAATACTCCTATTGTGAATTGAGTCTGCTGAGACTGACACTAACCAATTTGAAGATAATCAGTGGGTCCACTACAGACTTATATTATCATAGTTGGCCTCAAACATGGTCTCTCCAAAGTTCCCAAAACTACAATTATTTTCTCCTATAAGTTAGGTATAAGTTAAAGAGACAAACATAATTCATCATACTCTGGTGGCATGTAACCAAATGTGCCTGCCATATTAGCAGTGGGAAGTGAAGAACTTCCAACATCAATCAGCTTGGTTAATCCAAAGTCTGCAACCTGAAAATAATAATAATAATATACGATCCCTCATAACTAACCAAATAGAAAAGTAGTAACAAGCTCTCGAAAGCTATTGAAGCAGATTGTACCTTTGCACAGAAGTTTCTATCTAATAAAATATTTTCTGACTTTATGTCACGATGGATATATACAGGAACTGTATGCTCATGAATGTATTGAAGACCTCTGGCTGAATCCAGGGCAATTTGAACCCGGGTAGACCATGGCAAAGGTTCTCTATCTGGAAACAATTTGACTTGATTGTTAACTTTAAGTCATTACTCATTACAATCAGTCAATCACATTAATGCATGAATACATAACATAGATATCTGTCATGTACTTATATAACCTGATCTATGTAGATGTTGGCTTAAGTTTCCATTCTCAATGTATTCATAGACAAGGAAAAGGGAGCCCTCAATGCAATATCCAATCAAGGGTACCTACATGGTTATCAATTGAAAGAGAAAGTTAAAACATACAGGAAATGGAGATAATATGAACAAAGATTGAAAACAATCTATGAAATGTAGGAATAATGGTTCGAACTCTTTGTGTAGGAACACAACAAAACACTGACAAAAGCAGGGAATGTCAAGTTCGTTCCACAAAATCCTATAATACTAGTTCGAGTCATAACATCTTTCCAAAGCCCGCATTTTTTCTTTCAGATTTTACATGCCAAATCATATTCATACATCAGTCATTTAACCCAAATATGAGGGCATTTCTTTCTTTTCTCTATTTTCTTGAACATCTCCTTTTAAGTACAGTGGATGGTAGTTCTGTTGAGTTTATCTCCATGCCTGTTCCCAGGATAACGTTAAACCCTTTCATCAAAACCATGTTTATCTTCTCAGAATAGTTTCCATCTATTATCTCATATAAGTAGAAGAAAACGAACACAAGAAGTAAAGGGAAGAGAAAAAAGGCTATGCATTATATTCAATTAAGGTTTTAAAGCATAAATCCACTTTATTTTAAAGGAACAGAAAAGGAAAAACAAAATAAATGCACAAAGTTTCAAATAATACCAGGTTCAAGTGATGAACACGAGTCAACACTTTCAGTTCAGCAAGAAATGCTTTTGATGCTTGCATGTCCATCTTTTTTATTGCAGCTCTCTGTGTAATTAGAAAGGACTTCGTTACAAGAGATGTAAATATTAAAATGGCAATTTGCGAAAGATAGCACAGGAACAACTTCAGATTTGTCCCAATAGCACTATTATATCGAACATTTATGCTGCTGAAAGTATGTATCAACGAAAAAATGGTATTAATCTATTTTTTGGGGTTAAAAAAGCACAGATATAAAGAATATACTGTAAAAGTAGATATGTTTTGTAAGCACAAACAAGTGCAAGCGAATGTGGACTAAACCAAGTTAATATATGTCCTGTTCATCACTTCATTTCCTCTCATCCAATGTGGCCCTATGGAAGTCGCTCATAATCCTTTTTCACTATTTCTTTTCTACATTAAGTTTCAACGAAGAGACATGGTAAGATGAAATTAATTATCACTATATGTGGTTGATTAACTAAAAATTGTAAAGATCTCATTGTTTCAAATCTGGAACCATTCTTTGATTAGTTTTACTTTTACTTCAAATCTACTGTTTAACACCTGTTCAATATTTCATAGAATGCTCCACAATAGTGAAAGTATTATGTTTCAATTTAAATATTTCAAGTACTGTCAGAACCATTCAAAGTAAATGCTTCATTAATTGAAAACTCCTTGATGACTAAAAGAATATGCAACTTTTCTTTCTAATACATGCAATTAAAAGTCAAAACTAACAACAGAGATTATAAACCTCGCCATTCAGCTCTGCATAATAGACCTCCCCAAAGCCACCTTGACCAATTTTGTTAGCCATACTGAAGTTATTTGTGGCATTGGCTAGTTCTTCGTATGAAAACTCGGCTGATTTCTCCACCCTAATGCCAATGGTGTCAGTACCACCTGCTGCAGCAGGACCACCAGAAACTGAAGTTTCGTGTTTAGCATTACCAGATGCTTCATCTGAAAGATGAATGATAAATGGGAGTTACTATACCTGGTCATAAACTATATTTTCAGTTTCTATGTGTACTGTTCTTCTATTTCATGATATGTAGCAGAGGAAGACAAAGTACAACCAGAACAGCAAAATAATTTTATAGTAGTAACAAAAGTTACACTGATTCCAGCAACAAATTCCGAAATTGGAATAGAAACGATCTTTTTAAACTTGGTAAATGACAATCGAACTGTAAACTTTGTCCTTTAAGATTATTTGCTGCAGAAATGAGGGAAATGAAACCTATAACAGTAATTTTTAAGATTAATAGAGTCTGAATATGATTCTACGTGCTACTATTTGTTGTGGACTTCTTAAATTAGGGCAAGTCTTCAATTCAAAACACTTTGCTATTTAACCATATTTAAAGGGGAAAGGTAAAGGTAGTGAGGGAACAACAGGTTAGATGAAATAAACATAGAAATCTATATACCATTTTTAACTTGGGCAGTCTTCAAGCTGGATTCTTCCAAGAGAAATTTCTTCTTCCATACCTTCTTCCTCTGGTAACACGTAACATACAAGCAAAATGATGACAGAAGAAGTCCCGTTACTACTCCAACAGATATTCCAGCAATAGCCCCACCTGAAAGACCGACTGTGTAGAAACAATATATGAGCTGAAAGTAGGTTTACATCTACTTTTAGGATATCCTTACCTTGTGTCTGATATGAATATCAAACTAGAGAGGAATAAATCATTAATAAAATAACTTTCTGCAGAGTGAGGATATCAAACCTCCAGTGCTGAAAAGGAAAATGAAAATAGATCCATTAAAATTGATAAGTTACTAAAGAATGAAAAGTCATTCAAATTCATGTTCAAATAGGGACAGTAAGGTAAAAAGAATCACCTCAGGTGAAGGGGCACATAGATATTATTTTGGTCTGGAAAGTGAAGGGACAAGAAAATGTGAGGTATATGTTTCAAACTACACATTTCCAACGACTAAAATTAACGATTCTGGACCTAATGGTTTTGGAAAAGTTTTCTTCAAAAGAAAAATTCTCACTAGAGCCTGCACAAACTAAGCAAAGCAGGACTCCTCTTTACATATTATTTTCCACCCATATGAATTATGAGATCAAATTCAAGATTACATGCTTAAGGGATGTGAGCCCCTTTCACTCAAATCAACACACTTTGACACGTGAGTTCCATGAATTCATATGAAACACCAATCTACAATCTCATATTACGTACAAAAACCTCATGAACCTATATCAAACAACAATAATATCAAGAACCTATGTCAAAAGACCAAAGCATGGCAGCAAAATAAGAAAGTACCTTTCCCGGGAATATAAACCAAACCACTCCCTTGGCTAAAATTCACACCTGGATTGTACTTCTGCAGGATCTCAGGCTCAATTTTCGTCTCATTGGCAATTGACTGCAAAGAATCCTCAGGTCTAAGCGGGTATGTAATGAACAATCCATAATCCTTGGAAACATCACTATTCCCGCAAGAACAGTTAATGGTGACATTAAGCATTCCACTATCAGGAATACTAGTTGGTGAATAGCTGTTGAAACTCTGCAACCACTCATCAGTGGTCAAATTGGAGTAGTTCTGAGTGGCAATGGACGTGTAAGTTTCTCCTTCTCCAAGCGCGTATTGGAATATATGACCAAGAAACTCATCATCAATGCAATCACAAGGGAATGGAACGTTCACTCTGGTAAAGGCCGAGAGAGTGTCTTTGTCTTTTATGGTGCCATTGTTATAACTCACAATGTCTTCAGATTTTGAAAGAACCATGGATTCCATAATCTTTGATATATATGTCAAGTTATCTTCTGCTAGATAGTAGGAAGCTAGAGCTAAATCACAACCCCTACACTTTGATTCTGCACTGAACCACATAGAAGCCCATAACAAGAAGAAAATTGATAATCTGAATCTGTGTTCCATTGGGTAGAGTGGAATTACAAAAGCTTGTGAAGTTGAAGACGCAAACGGGTGATGGGAGAAGAGGAACAGAAAAACAAATTGAAAATTTGTATTCTTTTATCAAAGTTTTAATTTTGGAAGAGAAAAAAACAATGATTTTTTTAATAGTGGATTAATCATTAGCTAGTTAGTGTTAGTAATGGCTTAATTGTAATCACTGTCACAAGAGAATGGGTTAGTGGCAATTCCCTGGTTGTTTCGGTTTGTGACATTTCCCACACGACAAGCTCAGCATTAAGGTTGACAGAGAACAGATTATGCTTGTGCTTCGTTTTGTCGTCTAGGCAAGAAATTTCTTCGTGTGAATACATTGATTGACCCGACTTTGGAAAAATCAAATACAAATAAAATAAAATAAAATAAAAAAATTTCTTGGTAGGACAAAGTTTAAATATTAACTAATTGATTTTATTACCTTCTAGGCACATTTATCTTCCCTCAACCTTTTTTTAATACTTAATATTAATAATAATAATAATCGCTAACAGGTATGTTAAGCAAAAGCATGCAACAAAGCAACATACAAACTTATAAATAATTTTACTAGAGCACTTTTTGCCTTATCGTAATATACTCTGGTTATTTATTTCTTTTTACATAATAAAATTTGATATTAGTGGGATAATAATAAATCAAATAACATATAAATAAAAAATTAATTTTAAATTATCTAAGTTATTTTAAATAAATATGTCTCTTAAGTTCAAGCTCAATCGTTTTCTCTAAGATTTTAAAAGAAAAAAATAATTATGTTACAAAAAAATATATATGTCCACCATTTTTTATAGTTTTCTTTGATAAAAACATACAAATAACAACGTAATAAGACTTAATTACGTTTTCGGTTCTTTAGTTTGCTTTTTTTTTAGTTAATTAATTTTTTATTTTTAAAATTATATAAATTTAGTCTCTCATGAAATTTCTTCAACTTAAGACTATTAGTAAGAGAGAAAAACATTAATTTAGAAATTAAAAAAATATATCACATGACTTTTGTAACTTTTTATTAATTAAAATTTATTAAAAATTGTAAAAATACAAAAAATATTAATTTAAGAATAAAAAATAGTGAGACTTATATAATTTTTTAACTTTCTATTAGTTAAAATTTATTAAAAACTATAAAAGTATAAGAAAAAAAATATTAATTTAAAAATAAAAAAAGAGTAAGACGAATATAATTTTTGTAACTTTTAATTCAATTGTTGTTTGTTAGGTGAGTTTTACTCAAAATTTAGGAAATTACATAGTATTTTAATTTTTAAAATATTAAAAATTGTCGATTATTTGGTTCTTGAACCATTCAAAAAATGGACTTTGACGCTAACCGCTTGTGTGCGCCTGCACTCTTAAATTTTTAGCATTTTTCTCCACCATGAACGTATATTTTAACAACTTATTTTTACAAGGATAAAACCTATTTTTAATCTCTACCAACATGGATAATTTCAGTCTTTGTTTTTTAAATATTTTTGTTGAATTTTGTCTTTATAAGTTTTAAAAATATCTCTATTATCATATACTGATAACGTAACTCGCAAATAAAAGTAACATAATTAGATATACGTCAAATTATCACAAATTTTTTTTAAAATATATAAATTTATAATTTTTCAGCATAAAAACAACCAAAAAAAATTTAAAGACTAAATATTAATTGTTGAAAATAAGGGTATATAAATATTTTCTTTCCCTTTTATTAGGATCGAAATTAATTAATTCCACTTTCTACCAACTATAGAAATTTGAACTAATTGAGAACATTGGAGAAAAACAAGCTTGGATCGAACTTTATAATTATTATCCATTGCATATTAGCCAGATCTCTCAAACCAAACTATCCTTACATCCTTAATTGAGGGGATTAGAGAATTAAATCAGATTATATGCTCATAAAATCAGGTGATCAAATTATATACTTTTTTCAAGTGCAATTAATGAAATGAATAAATTAACCGCTAATTAATAAGTGAAATTCTCATATATTGTCGTCCAAGTCGGAATTCATTGTGTGATATTAGTCACAAGAAATCAGAAGGCTTCACTTAGTGAGAGTAGTTTCACCATGCAATTCCTTATATCTGCAAAGAACCGCAAAATAGTGAAAATTAAACAACAATCTGCATGCTGCATTAACTAATCTAACAAAATTAAAAGAAATGTGACTCGTTAACCTTTAATAAAATCAAGTCGATCTCGAGAAATGTTTAGAGTTTTTTTTTTTTTTTTTCATAATTTAGAGAATATTTAAGACATTTGAGGATCTTGATTTTGGGCTTAGGACTAATTCAATCCAAAACACAAGCTCATAAGATAACTCTCACTCAAGGATGAACATTTGTATTCTGAATCATGAAAATTACTAAGAAAATCGGTGGAGTAACAGTTTTTCGGTGACTTGATTACAATAGGTTGTGATATTATCTTAAATTTAACTTTAGACGTAGTTTAACCTAAAAAAATAGTTCGTAAGGTGAAAATAACTTTAGCATGTATAAATTGTATTTTACTATATCTGTAATAATCGATATAAGTTCATGGATGTTGCTTCGGAAAGCTCAATGATATGAAGATATATAGCAGAAGGGAATGACACTACTTGAGGAATCACCAACTCACTCTAGAGTCTAGAAGGAAATAAAGCTTCATATATGTGGTCTATGTTGGTTCTCTGTTCCTTACATTAATATCTTTATTCCAAAATCAGCGTTGCCATTACTTGCATCACGAGAGTAAGCAGATATTGATATGTTACTTCTGTGGCTTTGGTTCATAACATTTCCCTCTCGCTTCACAAACACCTTGTCCTTAAGGTGTAAATGTGGACAAGCTGCCAAAGGGGCACTGGTATGATCATAAAATAACTGGTACAACACAAAAAGATGCAAGCTGTTTGTATCACCTTTGGGTCTTCTAGCAACAGTTGAAGTACGTCATGTTTTTCAAAAGAAAACTAGCTTCTGATAGAAACTTAACTTGTAGCGTAGGTACATTTGTTTCCTATAAACCAAATAGGCGTGCCGACACATTTTTTAGGCTAGACCACATATTTTTTAATGGAAACAATGAACCCAATACTTTGATTAACACGTAACTTGAACCAACCACATATTGTATAGGCAATTGAGCATGCTGCCATTTTGAAATGACTAGTTGAATATAGACCCATTCAAGGGTGTTGCAATTGGGTCACATATTTGGCCCGTGAGGGCATGATCTCAAATGTCTCATGTGGTCTTAGAAGTTGAACACCTGTTAAACAACTCCACTATTATATTAGTGTTCCACTAAAAGCGAACTTCAACCCATATTGTAAAGCTTACAAATAGTTCTTCTTTGCGTTTCCTCCTCCATAATGGAATAGAGACTATAATTAAGAGATCCATTCAAATGGGCACTAACAATTCAGCTTTTTTGACGCCCTAAAATTGTAGTGAAACTTTTTTCAGGAAAAGCAAGTTATTATGACAGAGCGAAATAATCCCGTGGAAGAAGAAAACGTTTTAGTTGTCACACCTAATAAATGTGCCACACCAACTTGCATCTTCGGCCGTGTGTCTAGAAACTTGATAAAATCATTTTAAAACATATTTTAATATAAAATTTTAACTTGTAATGTTTAAACGAATTCTTAATTCAAGTAAATTTGATGCTAATTAAAACACAACCTCATTGCCCAATGGAAGTCATATCCATATGAGTAGGTTTGATTTGGATTAGAGTATAATTAATAAAATAAAAAAATATATCATATTTAATTGATTTAAGCTTTTATCCTCACATATTTCTTTCTTTTTTTACATAAATTTTTGAATTTTATATTGCTATAAGTTTAAAAGGTTTTCCATTCTTTAATAATTTTAAATTAATTTAAGGTTTTGAAACTTTTTAAGCAATGTACCCCAGTTTTACAGGTATCATCAATCTCTTTACCTGAAATATGATAATGAAGTTGGATAATAAGCATAAGGAATGACAATAGCATTAGATAAAATGGTGAAAATGAATGAAAAAATTACATAAGTACAGAGATCTAGATACTAAATTCTAAATATGTATAAAATTTTAAAATAAAAAATAATCAATTAATTAAGTTGATTTGGAAGTTGATTAAAAAATAAATATGAAAATTTAAAAAGTTGATTTAATTTAATTTTAAAGTGAAATAGAGTGATTAACTAAACTAACTATACGAATTCATTTAATCAATTTAGATTTAATCATTTAAGTTTATTGAATTAATTTAATGAACACAGCCTAAAGACAAAAGGCAAAAAGAGTTAAAAGAACTATTGTTAGCAATATTCTTTGTTGTCTTTATGGTCGTGTAAATGGGTACCAATATAGGTACAAAATAGTGAAGATCAGGGACATTGGAGAGGGTTGGGTGAAGGTGGCTTATAGCCCTAGACTCGTGGCAATTCCTTAACTTTTAGCCTAACCAACAACCAGCAACTTACAATAGCACTTGTATCAGAGTGAGTTGACTTACCTGTATTTGGCATCATAAAGATTAAATAAAGACATGTTTTACTGAATGGAAACTTTGTTCAACAACCACTCAAGTGACTTTGAGACAAACAACCGCACAAAGTAAAAGATGCCTTTCAGATCTAATGGACTTGATGCCACACCCAACGTTGCTACTCCGACAATATACATTTTCATCCCAACAACTCTTTCACTACTTCTTCTACACTCTCTCTTAATGTTTCTTTTACATTAACACATTTTAGATGCTTGTGCTACGTACTTATTCTTTGTTTCTTTAATGCAAGAACAAAAGTTAATGGAGATACAAACTTGCTCTTATGTGTAGGGTTTATTCTATTTTAATGATATCGGTGGATGTTTCAAACATTTATAATATCAGCTTTAACACTCCGCTAAAAAAATATCTTTATTTTTCCTTTTGAAGCTTCAGAGTTAATAGTAAGTACTTAAAATTAGTTGTTGATAATTTTATAATGAAGAGTCGTGAAAATAAAAAAATATATATATATA